GTTTCCCTTGTTTTCGGTACCTTTTTTTGGAACTATTGGTTGGATAATTCCGCCATTTAACAATTTTTCAATTTCTTTCTTGACAAATTCGTGATCAGGCATTAGATGTGGATAATGTGTTGTCCATATCGGATCTTCTTATTTGGTCCTAATTGATGCTTGTATTGTGGTCGTAAACGGTATTCATTCTAGTGTTATAATTTCTTCTCCTAAGATCATCGTCTGGAATCATCAACGTCCATTGGGACTGGTGCTGATTGTCGTTGTTTATTGAAGAGGTGGGAATATGGTATATTGGTTATGGGTGTCTCCATGTTGATATTGTTTGTGGAAATTTTGCGTTTTTCCACTGAGGATAATCTTTAGGTGAATTCCTCTAGTTGCTTTTTCAATGTTTCCTCAATGCAGCGATTTGTGCATGGAGTTGGACCAATTGGTGTTCCACTTTGATTTGTTATTACTGGCAAATTAACTGTCCAATGTTTCAGGATCTGTTAATCTTTGCTTCCAGTCGGAATATATTTAATTTATTTGTTGTCGTCAAAGGCTGCTTTCTTGCTGTTTAGACGAGGTGTAAACATGTAATCTTCTTTCTTAGATTACTGCTATTTAATCGTTTCACTTGTACACTCACCTTTTTGCACTTTAACGAAAAATGATACGGCGTATAAAAAGGGTGAGATGAGAAAAAAGGTTTCTGGTCTATTGTTACTCCCTTTTGAGTGTTGGGTAGTGTAGAGTTGTGGTAGGATGTGATGTGTATGTGTGGGTGGTCTGTGTGGTGTGATATCTGCGTGGTGTGATGTCTGCAGGGGTGGTGTGTGTTTGTGTGTGTTAATGGGTGGAGTCTTCTTGTGGATCGTGTTGATGTGGTGTGTTGGTGCTCAGTGGCGCGTATGGAGGCGAATTTTAGCCTAGCAACCGCTGTAGTTGCTGCAGCGTGGCAACAACGCTGCTGAGGCCAGTGGAGCGGCAGTATGTTGGCCTGGGCTGCCGACGCCGCGTTGATGCCTCCTGTCGCCTCGGTCTGGATGGAGGTGGAACTGCCTGTCTTCGGTGGTGCTCCGGATGGCTGCTCTGCTGCGATCTGCGGCTTGGGGCGAGTTGTCGCCCGACGGCCCGCTTTGGGGTGCGGTGCAGCATAATATGGTGCTGTCTATGGCACAGCTGGCAGAGCGTAACCGACGTACACTCCGGAGTCGTGTGGACCGTAGACAAACAGTTGAGGCAGTGCCCGTGCGCTTGGGCAACCTGCTGACGTTGTGGTGGCTGCATGCTTCGGAAAATGCTGCAGTGTTGCAGCCGGTGTGTGCGTCGACACAGTGGGCATCGGCGGTGTTGAGGTACCGTTGCCGGTGCTGATGAAGGTGGTAGTGGTCGCGGGCCATTACGGGGAGCGGTTGCAGGGACGATTGCCGCTGCGGTTCTTGGTGTTGCAGTTGCTCCAGGGCGCGGCACATTGATGGCGGACCTCACAGCTGGCGTTGGTGTTGCTGCCTGTATGAAGAAGTTAATATGATTATACATTTGTGGCATGTAAATTTATGGCGAATGTGCCACGGTGTGTGGCAGGAATGGATCGTCAATTTGATCGATCATTGCGGTTAGAATGTTTGGTTTATAACGGTTTTGTCATTTGCGGGTTTATTGGTTAGTTATACGACTAATTCATTTGCGTCGCGGTAATATCGGCGATTGGTTGTTATTTGCGGTTTTGTCATTAGATACGGTAGGCAGAAAACATAATTTCACGAGCGGTCTTGTCAGCTTGATCAACTACTCGTATATGACCGTCGGAACCGTAATATAATTTTTCT